AGCCGGCGCCGCGTCTATGCCCGCGGCGCTGGGGCCCGCTGCTGCCTGCCGCCTGTTGTAGTGCCGGCGCTGCCTCAGCGGCCCAGGCCGGGCGCAGCCAGGCCTTTACTCGCCGCGGCGCCCGTCGTGAGGCTACCCCTGAGCAGCTTCGTTGCCTCAGAGCCGCCCAGGGAGCTGCGGACGCCGCGCAGCAGGCGGGGAATTTGGTGGATTTTTTCCGGCCGTGCAGCAGGAGGGCTAGGTGTTAGCCACCCTGGAAGCCCTTGCTTGCACGCCTGCTGCCGGTGGGCCCGTGGTACGCGGCTTTTCGCCGGCTGATGCAGGCTTAATCCCAACCGCATCGTCTGAGGAAGCACCTTTCCCTGAAAACCGGCAGGAGATCAGATCCAGTTTGCAAATCAGACAGTGTGAACGCTCATTCCATGTACCTGGCATATCTGTGAGGCCACTTGCGTTCAGACCTCTTCAGCTTGCAGCCCACACCTCCATGGCTGGCAGGGCAGCTCCGTGCGCGCTCTGACCGAACCGAGTGGTCAGTGCGGCTCTTGACACAACCCAGCAATCGTTACCTAGGATTCACAGCAACAACATGGTGTCACTGTTGCTGCTGCGTATATGTGTGTTGCACTGCAGCAGGATTCTGGTCACTGCTTCTTGTCTTACAAATGCTTTAATGATTTTTATTTTTTTAATTTGATTTAAAGCAAAGTTGTTTGGTGCTGAAAGGATAGTCCAAGCACTAAACTGTGGTACCTTGCTGTGTGAGCAGAGTACTGGCCCCAAGTAAAATAAAGATAGAAGCCTCAAATATTCCCAAGTCCCCTGAGGACTGTATGGCCCTCAGCAGTTTTTTGTGATCTTAATGTTAAAATGATTAAAGTAAGGCTGCTGCTGTGCACTCTTGCAATATTCAGGTTGTTTAATATTTGCAAAAAGAACACATGGTGCACCCTTTGAGGAGAGACAGAAAGGGACAAGAGGACGCAGTGAGAGTGGCTGGGATGGCACTGGTTCTCTCTGTCCAGGACAGTCCTCCAAATGTGGCACTGTCCCATGTATGCTGTCGGTAGGGAGTAGAGCCTGTGATGTCTTTCAGCTATACCTAACATTTTCTGTTGGAAGAGCTGTTTGTTGTGCTTCACTTGGGAACCCAGGAACAAATGAGTGTGGCTGCACTGTGGCCAATAAAAGACCCACCACCGAGACTGAAGAATGAAATAAAGTTTCCAGATAGATTTTAGGTTTATAAAGACACATCAATCTTTATATAAGAAGTATATCATATGTATATTTATATCTGTGTAGTGCAGAGTATTCACTGTATCGACAATTTTATGAAATTGAGGTTCTGTCATTATGAACTTTCCATGTGTGAAGTGATGGCAGAATAGCTTTAATTAGGATAGGTGAAACACTATGAAATTTAAATTTTGAAGTCTTCAGAGTTGGGATGTTTTCCTCTGCTAGATTCAATTTAATCCTTGAAATGCATTACCAGGTTCACTTGTCAAGAATAATTATTTCAGGTTCTCACTTAAAATCGGCTGCGAGTCCATTAGTGACAGAATCGCTGGTTAACACCGGATTTGCTTCCCTGTTAGGCCGGTCTCGCAGCAGCGTGCGGCAGCGCTGCCACCCGGCGCCCTCGTACAGAAACGCATCCACCGCAGCTAGGTGAAGGTGGTCAAGCGAGGCGAGCTTCTAGAAACAGGGAGTCTGGATTTAGAGCAACTGTTACCACAGTTCAGTAACTCTGCACGGGATCGCCAGCATTTTTATGGAGTGCCTTAAGGCTGTTTTAATTCTGTATGGGCTTCAGCCTAATGGCTCCGAGTCATTACAACGCTGCTAATGTGGGTAGATTGTTATGATGTCTTCTCCCTGACAGTTCTTTGGAGGAGCTATATAGCTGTATAACAACTGATGCTGATTTTTTTTTTTTTTTTTTTTTTTTTTTTTTCTGAGCTTCTGTTTTTATAGCATGCTCATAAAGGTCTACATAAATTCAACATAAAATGTCTTCTAGCAAATACACATCCATTGTGTATCTCCACATATTTGCTCTTTTCAGGGTATAACTTTTTCTAGCAGGTGTTCCACAGAAATGTGCAGTCATCACTGGACATAAAGAAATTTTTTTTTACTGATGGAGGGATGAACCCTTGCCGTTTCAAAGTTTTGACTGCTGTGTCCATCCAAACTTTTCCTGTTTAGTCTAGGACATGTTCTGAAGATTGCCTCTTTAAATATATATATTTGCAGAATGTGCAAATGTATGCAAGTAGTTATGATCACATTAACATGGAATGCAAATAAGGTGATTTGGCACCTACTTAATTTGATGTGTAAATTTATCAGTTGTGTATGCAATTTTATTCCACACCTATCTAGTTACAAAACTGGTTATCCTGTCCTTATGTTCTCCCCCTCCTGGTCTGAATCCCTCTGTGCAACTAACTTTTCTCAGTGGCTTCCACCATGAGTATGACTGAAATGCTAAGGATTTCCCACCTGCAGGAACTGTGTCCTCATCTGCCTCTTGCTATTTCTTGTTCTAACTTACCAGATGCTGTGCTGACATCAAACAGGGAAGGCACAGAGGCCATTTCTGACACTGTCGCTTCCTTACTATGTGATTTAATTTTCCTATGCCTTTGTTTCTCAATCCATTGTTTGGGAAGTAAAGAGGAGATGGAGGTGTGTGTGGGGGGACTGTTTCCTGTGCTTGGACATTCTGCAGAGTGGATTTGTGGGCTGCTTAAGACCATCAGTACTAGTGCAGTAAAAATAAGGATATCCAACGTTTAGGACACCGCACATATTTTTGTTCTGTGATTATATCAGTGAGAGTGAACAAAGATGTAATTTCATTATGTTATTCAGCTCTTAATTGCAGGGCTCTGTCAAAAAATCACTCATCATACTGAAGCAATTACCTGCTTACCTGGATTTTTGCATTTTCACAAGTTTCATTTTCAGTCGTGTAAGGTCCAGTTGCAAGGTAGACTGTGGGAAAGTGTAGGGGTGAGAAGAAAGCTGGATGGCCCCTTGAGGCAGCCCACAGTGAAGACTAGATGAAGAGTTTTATACAGCTGCATCTTAAGTACTGTGGACTCTGTGCAGAAGACTGTGCTGAAGAGTTTGTCTTTGAAGAGGACATACCTAGGAGCAAGCTGTATCTCTCACATTCCATAGAAATGACATTTTGTGGAATGGTCGTCAGCTACATGCGTATAATACTGCAGGTTAATTATGAGACATCTCCCAAGCTGGCAGCCAACAGGGAATGAACTTAAACCTGTGGCAGAAGATCAGTCAGGGAGGGAACCCTTTGCTCCAGGGCTTAGTTTATAAGGTGAAACTGAACTCAAATGTACCTTCTCACACTTCTCTGATGATGTACAGTATGGTGACTCATGCCAGCACTGTTAAACTGTTACCTTTCTGCCGTAAGTGGTACTTCAACCAGCTCCACAATATTCAAATACTCTCCTTAATTTTATAATATATATTATTTTATATATTTGTATTTGTATATAAAAAAAGATACTATTAACATGGAGCTGCTTGGCAATGGTGAGAAAGAGATACTCTGAGAGCATATGTCAAATTTTGGCATCAGGGAGCTCAGAACTCAGGTGAGAGGGGAACTGCAGAGCCTAGTAGAGTTGGGCAACAAATGAATAGGGGTTTTCAGTGTCATAATTTAGGATATAATGTTGTTTAAATCTCATGTTATGTTTGTTCTTGAACTTGGTCTCTTGCTTCTAGTGACCTCTAGTCTTAATATGTTAAGTTACAAGAAACAAAAAGGAAAGGGGGTCCCCACTAAAAATTTTTGACCCATAAAAGAAGATAGCAGGTTCACCTAGAAAACAAGAAGAGAACAAGGGTGGGGTGAGACAAAGGCATCAAGTACCTTTATTGGTCTAGCTTCTAAGGCTGCAGTGACACTGATAAATAAAAGAGGGCCAAGGCTTATTTCTCATAGTGTTTGGTTGTTAGCAGGGTCCTCGGCATGCCTTTGGCCTGTCTGACTAACTTTCTCCCACAAAGTGTCCAAGCACGGTTTGGGAATAGCATGAGAGTAGAATAAAACACAAGTATGTGTGGATGTAACCCTGGCCACAGCACTGGCTCTCAGAGACAGATAATGGTCCAAGGCCTGTTTTAACTATACGAGCAAGTGTAGATATAGATATACAGTCTGAGAGGGAGGATCCTTCCTTACACCCTTCTCATTCCTATCTTTACACCGAATCCAAAGAGCAAAGAGCCCTGGCGACTTCAGTGTGCCTAGAACAGCTCATAAGTTTGTGCAGCAGAAGAGCTGGCGCCCTAAGCCTACACCAAGCTTATGACCCTTTAGCCAGGCAGCTGTCCACTCTGTGCCTCTTTTTCTTCCCATCTGTATAATGGTAACAACCTCCTATAGAAAAACGTTTGGTCATGAGGTGGCGGCAAGTGCTCCAAGTTAACTGCTGTCTTGTTAATTTCTGCGTTGACTCTGAGGTGCCAGTGATACAAAAGTCCCTATATAAGAACAAAACAACATGTTATCGGTGAGGAAGAACTGTTCCCATTCTGGTCAGCAGGGCTGTCAGAAAGCATTACAAGAAATAGGATGCTGAAGCAAGAGGCCACGCTGACACTTGGGTTGCTTATCGCACATGATGGTCTTTGCCTCATCCCTGACGGGGGAGGGAAGTGCCGCCGCAGCAGCCTGGGAAGCCATCCAGTGGGACAGTTATCTGTGTGAGCACATCCCTGGGAACTCTCGCTGCCTGTGCCCACTCCGCCTCCCCTGCTGCTGTGGTGCAGGATTTTGCAGATGTTCCTCCCAGAGAAGGCAGCTGCAGCTCTCAACCTCCCGGTTTCCATCTCCCCGGTGGTCTGGCTCCACCTGGCTGTGATGGAGCTGCTGATAGTTTGTCCCTTCCCCAGCCCGTCCTTTCACAAGCACTGAGAGGTAGTAGTCAGATGAAGAGGAATTATTCTATGCCTTTTCTCCCCTTTCCTTTTGTCTCCTGGCCATGTAGCTGTCCCTTTCCCTTTTCCCCCTAGTGTTTCTGATCCCTGTTTCTTAAATAACATGTAAACAACAGAGAGAAAACTCGAATGTGTAGATAATCCATATTTACAGTCAGATATGGTCTTATAGTTTACACAGCAGCCTGAGATGTAAATAAGGGTTGGTGGTTTTCTTCTTGCTTAAGGAAATTGGCCTCTTAGAATTTAAAGTGAAGGAATGATTTGCATTGTTTTTTATTCTCCTACTTTTGTTATGATCGGATTTTTTTTCCTTGCAGGGGGGTTTGGATCTCTCCACTCCCCATGCGAGGACGGTGTAGCTGTGTGCACGCATGCGCATCGTCTTGAAAACGCATTTCATCTGTTTACAAGTTTCAGCTTAAGGGCAAAACCTTAAGGCAAGAAAATGCGTCATCTCGGGATTGTTGTGACCCTAGGGTATGTCCACGCCACATTTGGAAAATGCGATGACTGCATGCCTAGGCCTACTCAAAGTTGTTTTTATACAGCTAGCTCAGATACACCCGTGTCTGAAGTGAAATGAAGACAAATCAGTTACTTGCAGAACTCTGCTGGGTTTGGAGTGTGCCGGCAGCAGTCCTTGCAAAGGTAACACATGATTTTTCCCCATTCCCCGAAGGAATTTATGTCAGATTTAAGACATCTCAGGGTTGCAGAAATTCACCAAGCCGTAACCCACCAGTAGCTTTGCAGCACTAGAGTCAAAAAAAGCCATTATTACTGGTTGTGCCACTTCCCATCCATAAAGCACGCTGGGCTGAAGAGCATGAAGCAATCCACAGCTGACTAGTGAGCACAAAGTTGTATCTACCCTGTGGGCCTGCATTTAGCAGCGCAGCCTTAGTGCAGGAACAGTCAGTATTATATGGGCCAACAATGAACATGGCCAATTTGAATTGCTGGCTGTTGGGAGAAATTCTGTATGGAGGCTTTTCTAGGTGTATGTATACAGGAAACTGCAGAATGCTCTGTTGTTTGATGCCACAGATCTCAATTTCATTGAAATCCAATTTCATTTCAATGTCAGTAACAATTCTGTTGAAAACTCATCCCTTTTGGGAGACTATGAGTGATAATTTATATTTAGATATCCAGACAGATATTAGAAATAACCTGCACTTTCATCAGATTATACCCTCCACTTTGCACACCAGATACATGTGAGTTTTGTTCTCTTTATTACCTGCAATTAGTTAATGTCTTTTGCTTATTTTATTTTTGTTAGCTACAAATAATAATAATGAAAGGCAATGACAGTGGCATTTTGGGAAAGATTACCTTTTGAAAAATACATGTGATTCATTAACAAGGAAGCCTGTCTTTCTGGGCAGACACTGCTGTGGGGTTATCCATACAAGTGTTTCAAACAAACCTGTGTTTGTGATCCTGTCATTATATCCGGGGTTCAAACCAGCTTCCCTGCAGAAGAAAACACACAGATTTTCTGTGTCTTTTAATTTCCAAGGTGAGCTGGAAATTTCGACCTTGGAGGCACTTTAAAGAGTGACCTGTCTAGTTTATGTTCTCCTTGTGCACCTTGCAGCTCAGGGGCATGACCATCACTGTGCCCTCGCTGCCCCAGTCAGCACCCAGGACAGCAAGGCATTGTGCAGGTGTTTGCAAAGCAGCTTTCTTGCTACGCTGATGTTTCAGACTGGCAGATTTCCATCCCAGTGAGAGGGTAAGATAAGTCTAAAATGTATTTTCTGTAAGGGATGGAAAAATGCTTGCTCCTAGAGACATTATGGACTGTGCACACTGCTGCAAAGGAGTACAACATGGGCACCAAACCCAGGAGCCGGAGCACTGAGTGCAGCTCCACAAAGAAAGTTTTTTTCTAGTCTCTAGCTGAACTGAAAAATGGTCATGAAGTTGGGTGGAACTGGGTTTCCTTCCAAAAGAAAAAAAAAAAAGAATAATAGTATTAAAATCAGATGGGACTAAACTATTTTTAGAGAGTTCTTATCTTAAAACACATAGGTCCATAAGCACGTTTTCTATGAACTTGTATCCTGTGATTGAAGCAGTATTTGAAGCTTCATCTATAGCTGGCACTCTGCTCTGTATGCTCTGATACCTCTGATAAGGACTGAGTTCATGTTGAAAACTTTCCTTTAGTTGGAGAATTTAAAGGGTTTTTTCTTTACTCAGCTGCCTGCTTTCACAAAAAAAAAAAAAAAAAAAAAAAAAAAAAAAAAAAAAATTACAGCAATTTAGTTATCTTTGAGACCTCTGTCAAATTCAGTTGAAATCAGGCAATGAGTTCAAACGTTATTAGGAGAGAATGTATACAGACACTCATGCAGCTGCATCTACATCCATGTAGATACAGAAAGATAAATCAAGTCAGCTTTCTTTCCACATGGAGAAAGGGTATATTTTGGTAAATATTAAAATGCATCTCTTTATACAGAAAAGCAAGAAAGCAAACAAAATATTTTCTTTAAAATCATTAACATCAATATTTAAAAGGGTCTCCTGTTTTCCCTTAGCACATTTTCAAGTTCCTTTCAAAATCATGAATTCCCTCAGAGTAAATATACATTTTCTATTTGCAAATATTTTTCTGTAAAATTTCACTAAGCAGCGCAGAAGAATAATTTCACTCATTGTTCTCCTGAGATACATGGTAAGACTCTTAATTCATCTAAGAAACTTGGGCTGTTGAAGCCAACTGCCAGTACAGTCTGGGCTGCTCCTTACACAAGAAGTCAGTGGACTGAGGGTTCCCAGCCACATAAATGCCTCCAGAAAATATGTTCGTTGTCTTCAAAATGGAGATAAAGCTGCTGATTGTTTTAGTCAGAGTAAAGTCGTTATTTACCTTTCTGGGTACTGCTGGTTGCTTTTGTTTATTGCTTGTTGCTTTTTGCCTTTTTGTTTGTTGCTGCTCAGAGGCAAGAACGGAGGAAGGTGGAGGATGCTTGAGTTTCATCCTCAAGGGGCTTGCAATCGAGACAGCTAGATAAAATGAATAGCAATAGCTGCACGAGAAATAACGGTGTCTACAGCCTCCTCTTACTGTTCCGCTTACATCGCAGCTTTTGGCTCATGGTCATGGCTGTGTTCCTCGCATTTCTCCCGTCTTTGTCTGTGCTGTGTTTCAGGTGGCAAATGAACAGTGAGCGTGGCTAACTCAGAAAGGTGGGGAGGGTGCTGAGTGCAGTCAGGAAGCCCTGCAAAGCAGGGTGGCAAAGAAGCCATGGGAGAATATTCCGAATTTAACTCTTAGTTTTATGCGTATCTCAGATGCCTACCACCCTCTGCTTTCTAGACGGAAACCAGCACCTTGCTATGAGTCTCGAGCAGGCATTAGTGTGGATTTAAGTGGAAATTTTGAGTGGTTAAAGCCAACGGTTAATTTCAATTCAGTGGGTGAATCCAGTGGTTAAAATGGTATTTGAGCATTTGCTGCACCAGTCAGTTGTGCTCAGCTCAAGGTTGGAGTGCTCCAGTCTGTCTCCCCTCGAGAGAACAGCCATTCCTGAGGAATGTCCCAGTGCCGGGGTGAAGCTGCGCTCCGCGGAGCTGCCCCCCCTCCGGCCATAGCTCGGCCTGGGCGAGGCGAGCTTC